GTGCAGCTCTCGTTTCTGGCCAGATTTAAAACTTAAAAACTCCTTTGTCCCACACGCCATCAGACTGTTTAACTCCTCCCTGGAGGGGAGAGGGAGGGGAAACAGGAGGACAAAGGAGGGGGGAACAACTAAGCTGTAGTGCCTCTTCACCTCACTGTGCAATACCTTTTGTGCAATACTTTTGTAAATAGTCAACAGTGCAATAGACTCAATACTTGAAATGTGCAATTCACTTGTATTTTTATTTTTATTCCTATTTATTCTATTTATCCCCTTTGTATATTTTATTTATATTGTCTCTGTATTTATATATATGTGTGTGTGTGTGTATATATATATATATATATATATAATATTCTGTAACTTCTGTCGGTGCTGTGCTTTTTTGGAAATCGAATTTCCCAGAGGAACCCACCCGAGGGATTAATAAAGTTCTATCTAATCTAATCTAATCTAATCTAGATTTATTAAATTACCCAAAATGACTATCCAGAGTTGGGACCTGGAAGCAGCACCATAGATTAACTCCTGTTATTTCCCCTAAACCCCATTCCACATAGAGACTGTGTCTGTCCTAGACCACCAAAGAAAATCATCAAGAAATGCTTTAAAATTAAAAATTACAAAGAAAGAACAATCTAGTATCATCAAGTGCACCAAAGGGTAAAACAGCAAACTGTGGATTATTAACCATTAGGTCTCTTTTTGTACATGAATTAATAATCGATTAACATATTGATTTACTCTGCTTTACAGAAACCTGGTTAGAGCAAAATGATTATGTTAGTTTAAATGAATAAACACTCCTGAGTCATAGTAACTATCAGAATCCCTGAGGCACAGGCCGAGGAGTGGGTGTGGCAGCAATTTTTCACTGCACCTTCTTATTCAACCAAAAACCCAGACAGAGATGTAATTAATTTGAAACCCTGATGCTTAGCCTCGCCCACCCTAGCTGTAAAAGTCAAACAGTTTTATTCTGTTGCCCACCTGAGTTTCTGTCTGATTTCTCAGACTTTTATCTGATTTAGTGCTCGGCTCAGATAATTGTGGGTGATTTTAACATCCATCTAGATGTTAAAAATGACAGCCTCAATAATAATAATAATAATAATAATACATTTTATTTGAAAGTGCCTTTCAAAATACTCAAGGACACTGTACACAGCAGAATAATAAAAGCAGCATAAAAGCAAGCAGTTTACATAATCATACAAGCATAAGACATAAAACAAATTTACAGTGGTTGCAAAAGTGTTCGACCCCCTCGAACTTTCCCACATTTTGTCACATTACAGCCACAAACATGAATCAATGTTATTGGAATTCCACATGAAAGACCAACACAAAGTGGTGCACACATGAGAAGTGGAACGAAAATCATACATGATTCCAAACATTTTTACAAATAAATAACTGCAAAGTGGTGTGTGCGTAATTATTCAGCCCCCTGAGTCAATACTTTGTAGAACCAGCTGCAGTTCCAGCTGCCAGTCTTTTAGGGTCTGTCTCTACCAGCTGTGCACATCTACAGACTGAAATCTTTGCCCATTCTTCTTTGAAACAGCTCCAGCTCAGTCAGATTAGATGGACAGCGTTTGTGAACAGCAGTTTTCAGGTCTTGCCACAGATTCTGGATTGGATTTAGATCTGGACTTTGACTGGGCCAGTCTAACACATGGATATGTTTTGTTTTAAACCATCCCATTGTTGCCCTGGCTTTATGTTTAGGGTCGTTGTCCTGCTGGAAGGTGAAGCTCCGCCCCACTCTCAAGTCTTTTGCAGACTCCAACAGGTTTTCTTACAAGCTTGCCCTGTATTTGGCTCCATCCATCTTCCCATCAACTCTGACCAGCTTCCCTGTCCCTGCTGAAGAGAAGCCCCCCCAGAGCATGATGCTGCCACCACCATATCTGACAGTGGGGATGGTTCAGAGTGATGTGCAGTGTTAGTTTTCCTCCACACATAGCGTTTTGCATTTTGGTCTCATCTGACCAGAGCAGCTTCCTCCACATGTTTGCTGTGTCCCCCACATGGCTTGTGGCAAACTGCAAACGGGACTTCTTCTGGTTTTCTGTTAACAATGGCTTTCTTCTTGCCACTCTGCCATAAAGGACAACTTTGTGCAGTGCACGACTAATAGTTGTCCTGTGGACAGATTCCCCCACCTGAGCTGTAGATCTCTGCAGCTCGTCCAGAGTCACCATGGGCCTCTTGGCTGCATTTCTGATCAGCTCCTTGTTCGGCCTGTGAGTTTAGGTGGACGGCCTTGTCTTGGTAGCTTTACAGTTGTGCCATACTCCTTCCATTTCTGAATGATGGCTTGAACAGTGCTCCGTGGGATGTTCAAGGCTTGGGAAATCTTTGTGTAGCCTAAGCCTGCTTTACATTTCTCAGTAACTTTATCCCTGACCTGTCTGCTGTGTTCTTTGGACTTCATGGTGTTGTTGCTCCCAATATTCTCTCAGACAACCTCTGAGGCCGTCACAGAGCAGCTGTATCTGTACTGACATTAGATCACACACAGGTGCACTCTGTTTAGTCATTAGCACTCATCAGGCAACGTCTATGTGCAACTGACTGCACTCAGACCTAAGGGGCTGAATAATTACGCACACCCCACTTTGCAGTTATTTATTTGTAAAAATGTTTGGAATCATGTCTGATGTTCGTTCCACTTCTCACGTGTGCACCACTTTGTGTTGGTCTTTCATGTGGAATTCCAATAACATTGATTCATGTTTGTGGCTGTAATGTGACAAAATGTGGGAAAGTTCAAGGGGGCCGAATACTTTTGCAAGCCACTGTAAATAGCAGAGTGGAGAGGTTATGTGGGATAAGCTGTTATGAACAAGTGAGTTTTGAGTTGGGACTTAAAGAGAGAGAAGGAAGTGAGATTTCTTAAATCAGGAGGTCGGGAATTCCAGAGTCGAGGAGCTGAGCAGCTGAAAGCCCTGCTCCCCATGGTGGCAAGACGAAGAGAGGGGACAGAGAGAGAAAGAGAAGAAGAAGATCTGAGACACAGAGATGGGGCGGTGATCTGAACCAGAACAGAGAGATATGGAGGAGAGAGAGATGATGAATAGCCTTAAATGTGTACAACAACTGTGTACAAGTACTGTCGAGGATGACACCCAGAGTTTTCACAGAGGAAGAAACGGAGACCGGCGAGTTATTGATAGTAACAGAGAAACTGTTGGTTCTGGATAATGCTGATTTAGTCAACAAAGCATTTAATCTGTTATTAGACTCAACTGGCTTCTCTCAAAATGTTGCAATTTGGAGCTTTACAATAAGCTATATAAATAAAACTGAATTGAATCAAATTCTCTCAAATGGATATGTACCACAGGCCTTCAAGCTGGCTGTAGTTAAACCTTTACTCAAAAAGCATCTCTAGACCCAGCAGTCTTAGCTAATTATAGGCCAATCTCCAACCTTCCTTTATATCAAACATCCTTGAAAGAGTAGTTGTCAAACAGCTAACAGATCATCTGCAGAGGAATGGTTTATTTGAAGAGTTTCAGTCAGGTTTCAGAGCTCATCACAGCACAGAAACAGCTTTAGTGAAGGTTACAAATGATCTTCTTATGGCCTCTGACAGTGGACTCATCTCTGTGCTTGTCCTGCTAGACCTCAGTGCAGCGTTCGATACTGTCGACCATAATATCCTATTAGAGCGATTAGAACATGCTGTAGGTATTACAGGTACTGCACTGCAGTGGTTTGTATCATATCTATCTAATAGACTCCAGTTTGTGCATGTAAATGGAGAGTCCTCTTCACACACTGAGGTTAATTATGGAGTTCCACAGGGTTCAGTGCTAGGACCAATTCTGTTTACATTATACATGCTTCCCTTAGGCTGCATCATTAGAAGACATAGCATACATTTACACTGCTATGCAGATGACACCCAGCTCTATCTGTCCATGAAGCCAGATAACACACACCAATGAGTTAAACTGCAGGAATGTCTTAAAGACATAACGTGCAGAGTCGTTTCTGACCAGGATATGTCCCTGAATATGCATAATAAACAAATGTGCAGAATGCTTACTTTCACTTGCGCAGTAGCAGTTCCTAAATGCTGCCCCAAGAATATTGACTAGGGCTAGAAATAGAGCATATACTTCTCCTATACTGGCTTGTCCTATTTGGTTTTCTGCTAAAACCAGAATATAATTTAAAATCATTCTCATCACATAAGAAGGTCTCACTTTTAATCACATTTATAATCACATAAAGCTGGATGTTTAGACCTTTTACTCTCTCAGCTGTGTTAACACAGACCTGCCAGTTTCTTGAACTGGTTGTGATCAATTAATAATGTGCACGTTTTCCTACGTTTTCCCTCAACTTAAACTTTATAATAATAAGCTTTGATACAGCACTCTGTAGACAGCCAAAATTTTCAGCAACGACCTTCTGTGGATTACCATACCTGTGAAGGGTATTAACGATGATCATTTTGACAACTGTCAATATTCAGTGTTCATGTCTGTGAAGGTTGTCAGTCATCCAGGTCATCGTAGTCTAAGGAGCTTGGAAAGAAAAGCGTCTGGACTAGAACTAGAACTGAAGAAGCTTCTCGGATGAGAGGTGAAACATCTTCAAGCCACTTAAAGAAGTCCAGACACTTTTCTTTCCAAGCTCCTTAGATTCAGTACTCATAATCTTCAAATATTTTGAGATACATTAGTATATTCAAGTGTCTGTAAGTTTGTGACAGATGGAGCAAAAGAGCAAGCAAACCAGTGTGTGAAAGTGTGTAATATGATGAGGCTCCTTTTTCGTCAGCGCTAAATTGGGACAAGTGATCTAAGTAGAGCACTATCCCCCTGTGGAGCTCTGGCAGTCACTGAGCTTCAGTGTCTGCACAAAGCTTTACTCGAGCAATTGTGCAATTGTTGTCCACCTTTTAGTCTTCTTTCTGAGCTGAAGATGCTGAGACCTACTGACTCCCCTGAGCTTATGTATTATTTAAACTGTCTGCACAGGGAACCCAGGAAGGTAGTGCTCCACAAGAGTACCACGGGCTTGGGCTTCAACATCGTAGGTGGTGAAGATGGTGAGGGCATCTTTGTCTCCTTCATCCTTGCGGGAGGACCCGCTGACTTGAGTGGAGAACTGAGGCGAGGTGACCAGATTTTATCAGTGAGTATGCAAGAGCCACTATATCCACAGAGATTTACACATAGTAATGTTTCAAAATATGTTTAAGTTTTACCGAAATTATTGATGTAGAAATTCTGATGTCACCTGCGGTTTAATTCATTATGAAAAACCTTCACAGCTCAATAGCAGCCCTATTTGAGGGTCTTTACAGTATAAAGCATCCTGAGGCAGCTGTATTCAGTTTTTTAAAGACTGAATTGAACTGAATATGCAAACTGCTTACAAACAAATCTGAATAAATAAGCTGTTTTTATTTGTTGCAGTCTGAATCTCTTTGTAATGCTCTGCACAAGTACAGGCTGACTTTTGTTAAATGTGTGTGTTCCAAGGACAATGATAAAGTGTGCAATAGTTCAGGTGGCCTAGATTTACTTTCAAAGCAAATGGATGGTGGGTTTTTTCTTCTGCAGTATTGCTCCAGTATGATAACAGATAGGTGCTGTGTGTCATAGTTTATTAGCAGGTTATTTTTTTAATTAAATCTATTAAATATGTGCATTTGTAATTGACAGCTATAAATACAAAACTAGTGTTTTTCATCTTTATTGCTTTAATTGTTAAAATAATTAATAATTAATGACGAAACAGAAATTTCCTTCATTGCCAGCGAAAGCTAGGAAAGGGATAGTAAAGGACTGCTAATTTGTCTAATATTAAGAAAACACCCAGCAGAACCTCTCACAGATAATTAGGCTATTCGGCAGCATGGGAGGATTAGGGGTAAAAAATAGCATTACATAGAGGCTAAGCCTTTCAGAAAGAAAGAAGGAGAAGGGGTTAAGATTGTGTCTGCAAGTTATTTTAAAACATTGTTTTTAAATCTAAATTTGCAAAGAATGCAGAGATTTAATCAAATAAACATGTATAACCATCTAGTCATGGCATGTCTCTGAAAACTACTGTCAGGAAAGAGCCATTTGATGCATCTACAATAAAAAAAAAAACTGCCATCCAAAATAAAAATAAAACTTCTAAAGGGTCTTATCCTATTTGTAGACTAAGATGACTTGCAAAGACTGAGTTGTAGTTTGACTGTTCAAATTTTTTAATTCTTTGTGGAAATGATTGAACCTGTGTTTTCTGAGCTAACAAGGAAGGGAAACATCCAGCTGTGCAAAAAACTTGCACATCTGTGAAGATACTTTTTATATTAAACATGTTGAACATGTGCTGCCATCCAGACAATCTCCTTTACAAAAAGCTCTGCTAAACCAACAGCATGGCTGCTTTAAAACCCAGAGTCCAGTCCCATCGGTCAATAGTCCCGATCTGTCACGTTAGTGGTGGATCATGATTAAACTTCTAAACAAAAGGAAGCAGAAGCAGCTTGGCAGCTGAAATCAAATAAGAATGGAAAACATCTCTTTTAAAACTACAGTGATTTAAAAAATAAGTATTTAGTAGTGCTGTCAAAATTAATGCGTTAACGCAAATTAATCCGCCATCATGGTCAGCGCGATTAAAATTTTTAATGCAATTAACGCATCTGGAGTACAGAATGACTCAAAATCCCTAAAATGTTTCTGTTAACTCATTTCGGGCAGTTTGGCCAAGCAGAGTTACCTTCGCACATGCGCAAATGGGCAGTTGATCTGGTAGTGACGGGCAGCTGAACCAATCAACTCAATATGGAAGATGATAAACGCACATCGGCCCTCTCGACGGGAAATTTGAGTATTAAAAAACCAAGAAGACGGAACAGTCGACCAACATAAAGTCTTATGCATGTTGTGCAAGAAGGAATTTTCACTGAAGCACTTCCTGCTTAAAATATCACATTGACGCGAAGCATACGTTAGCCAGGATGCTGCTAGCACTTTAGCTAACGCGTCACCCAGCTTGGACAAACCCCTCACGGAGCATCGCGGACTCAGTAAGTCGACCTCGGACATATTGACTGACGCAATCGCCAAGTGGATTGCAACAAGCTGCTTTTCTCGAGTCTGCTCATGCAAAATGAAATGTGATTAATATTGAATAAAAATTATATTTAATCGTGATTAATCAAAATTAATCCAAAGTAACCCTGTGATGAATCTGATTAGACATTTTAAATATTTTGTTTGACAGCAGTTTGATATAATTATATATTAGTTTATACTTACCTATTAGGTTTTTTTTTTTTAAGTTGCATTTCACAGGAGAAAGCCTGTGCTAAAAGACTGAAGAAAACTATTCAAATTCTCTTTGAATTTAAGCATTTAACATTCTTTGTGTTTATACTTCATTATATTGCATAAATGTATGTTACAAGCTTAAATATAAAGTTGAAAAAATGTAATTGCAACCAGGCTTTTGATCAAGTAACTGCGATTCATTGCGATTAAAATTGTGAGATTAATTAGTTAATTTTTTTTATCTATTGACAGCACTAATATTTAGTTTTACACATTTAAATTAAAATCAAAATAATTAATGTTGCAGAATTAAAGTCACATTTCCATTGAATTCAGTTCAATTCACTTTTATTCATACAGCACTAAATCACAACAACAGTCGCCTCAAGGTGCTTTACATTATAAGGTAGACCCTAAAGTATTAGATACAGAGAAAACCCCAACAATCATATGACCCCCTATGAGCAGCACTTTGGTGACAGTGGGGAGGAAAAACTCTCTTTTAACAGGAAGAAACCTCCAGCAGAACCAGGTTGAGTCCAATAACAGATTAAATGCCATGTTGAGGCTGTCATTTTTAGCATCTACACGAATGTTAAAATCACCCACAATAATTATTTTATCTGAGCTCAGAACTAAATTAGATATAAAGTCTGAGAAATCAGACAGAAACTCTGTGTAAGGACCAGGTGGACGATAGATGATAACAAGACTGGTTTCTGAGTTTCACAGCTGGGGTGGACGAGGCTAAGCATCAGGCTTTCAAATGAATTAAAAGTCTGTCTTGGTCTTTCATTAATTAATAGGCTTGTGTGAAAAATTGCTGCCACACCTCCCCCTCGGCCTGTGCTTCGAGGATTCTGGTAGTTAGAATGACTCGGGGGTGTTGATTAATTTAAACTAACATAATCATCCTGCTGCAACCAGGTTTCTGTAAGGCAGAGTAAATCGATTTGTTGATCAATTATTAAGTCATGTACTAACAGAGACTTGGAGGAGAGAGACCTAATATTTAATAATCCACATTTCACTGTTTTACTCTTTGGTTCAGATGTGGATACTGTATTGTTCTTTCTTTGTAATTGTTTATGTTTAAGTTGTTTGTTGCTGGTTTTTAGTTTGTTTTTTGTCTGTTTGGAAGCTGACACAGTCTCTATGGAGATGGGTTTTTGGGGGGGTAGCAGGAGGAGAGAAGCTGCAGAGAGGCGTTTTGGGGGGGTTTAATAAATTTGTCCATATTTCTAGAAATGAGAGCTGCTCCATCCAAAGTGGAATGGATGCCGTCTCTCCTAACAAGACCAGGTTTCCTCCAGAAGGTTTCCCAATTATCTATGAAGCCCACATCGTTTTTTGGACACCACTCAGACAATTTCAAATTCAAATTCAAATTCAAATTCAAATTTTATTTGTCACACACACACAACCATACACAGTATGACATGGGGGTGAAATGCTTGTAGCTGTACAATGCCCGACCATTAAATGACAGAAGAAAAGTTCTACAATATTTACAATTTACTACAAAAATTTACAAATTAACTTAGGAATTTACAGTAAAGAATGTGCAAATAGCAGAAGAGATTATAAAGATAAGGATTATAAATTATAGGAATTATAGGATTATAGGAAATGTGTGGTGGTGCGTGTGGTGACGTGTGTGAGAGTCCAGTCTTATAGTGACGTGTTTGGGAGAGTCCAGTCCTACACCTGGTTCAGGCCCCGAATATCCTGTGGGAAGAAGCTCCTCCTCATTCTCTCTGTTTTGGCCTTAAGGGAGCGGAAGCGCTTCCCAGCCCTCAACAGTGAGAAGAGTCCATTGTTGGGATGGGAGAGGTCCATCATAATCTTCCTAGCTTTGGACTTGCACCGCTTGGTGTAGATGGACAGCAGGTCAGGGAGCTCTGATTGAATGATGCGTTCTGCCGAGCGCACCACCCTTTGCAGATCTCGTCTATCCTGCTTGGTGCTGTTCCCAAACCAGGTGCAGATGTTTGACGTCAGGACGCTCTCGATGGTGCAGGAGTAGAAGTTCTTGAGCACCTTCAGTGGCAGATGGAAGTCTCTAAGTCTTCTGAGGAAGAAGAGACGCTGACGGGCTTTCTTAACCAGGGTGTTTATGTGACAGGACCATGACAGGTCCTGAGTGATGTGGACACCCAGGTATCGGAAACTGTCCACTCTCTCCACTGGCGTGCCACTGATGATGAGGGGTTTGTAATTCCTCGCCTGCTTTGTAGTGAAGTCCACGATCAGCTCCTTAGTCTTGCTGATGTTTAGGAGGAGGTTATTCTCCTGGCACCAGGTCTCCAGGTTCCTAATCTCCTCCAGGTAGGCCGTCTCGATGTTGTCGGAGATCAGGCCCACAACAGCAGTGTCGTCAGCAAACTTGACAATGGAGGTGGTGTCGGATGTGGCTACACAGTCATAAGTGTACAGTGAGTACAGCAGGGGGCTTAAAACACAGCCCTGAGGCACTCCAGTGCTGAGTGAGATGGAGGGGGAGACTTGTTTTCCCACCCTCACTGATTGGGGTCTGTGAGGAAGTTGAGGATCCACTGACACAGTGATGAGCTGAGTCCTAGATCCGTCAACTTGGTGAAAAGCTTAGAGGGAATTATTGTGTTGAATGCTGAACTGTAGTCCACGAACAGCATCCTAACATAATTCCCTCTGCCAGTGTCCAGGTGACTCAGGGATGTGTGGAGCAGGTGAGATATGGCATCGTCTGTGGAACGATTAGTCCGGTAAGCAAACTGAAGTGAGTCGATGGTGGGAGGAAGTGAAGAAGTGATGTGATCTCTCATCAGTCTTTCAAAACACTTCATCACAATTGAAGTCAGTGCTACTGGACGGTAGTCATTG